AATGGGACTGAGCGAGGATCTGGTGAAATCGAAGTCAACGGTGCCAAAATATATTACTCAGGAAATGAAGATATTCATCACTATAATGGCGTCGCGATAGTGGTTGGTCGCAGTTTTTCCCAGGCTGTAACTGGTTTTGTTCCTATATCAGATAGAGCGTTAATGATCACAGCCCAAATAGCGCAACGCGCCCACTGCAGATAAAGATGAAAATAAAATAGAAAAGTTACAATGACATTTCAAAAGCACTAGACAGCACCAATAATAGAGATATAATAATAATGGGGAATTTTAATGCAAAATTAGGAAAAGGTAAATTCCATGTCATTATTGCTGAATTCGGACTAGGAATAAGGAACGAAAGAGGAGAAAGACTGACGGAATTCTGTCAGTAGTTTGAAATGATAGCGACAAATACATTCTTTCAGTTATGAAAATCACCTGCGGCATAGCAACGAAAAAATTATCAGAAACTAGATAGATTATATCCTTATCAGTAAGAAAATACCGTAACTCCATCAAATCGGCAAAGACCTATCCAAAAACAGATGTGTCATCAGACCACAATCCAGTAATCATAAAATTCGAAATCCACTTAAAAAATATAAAAAATCAACAAAAGACACAACAAATAAGCACTCTGCTAAAACACCCGAATATAAAAGGAGAACTAAAGTTGAAAATTAAAGAAGAGTTAAGCAAAACAATATTCATAGATAATGAAGATTCCAACGAAAAATGGGAAACATTTAAGAACACATTAATGACGCCAATTAAACACCCTGGTTAATACGAATGGTAAAATAATATCTGATATCAAAGGCAAACTAAAACAGATGGAAATAATACGTCCAAGAATTGTTTTGAGGACGACAGGACACAACAAGATGAACGATTGCAAGGAACATGATATAGGTCTAAATATAACTAAGGTTGAAATAATACATGCAATAAATCTGGCGAAATCTAATAAAACTGCGGGCCTGACACAATTCCAACTGAAATAATTAAAATAATATCAGAAGATCAGATCAATGTATTAGTAGACTTATATAATACTAGTTATATATATATATATATATATATATATAATACGGGTATTATTCCGAGAGATTTGCTCAAATCAATATTTATTACATTACCAAAAAAACCTAATATTGTTCTGAAGCTATTTTCTTGTGGCATTGTAAATTAATTACTATTTATAACTGGGAATAAGCCACAATTAAAGATAAAAATACGTTTATTGACGTTTCAATTTCCAATTCGGAAAATCGTTCTCAAAATACAAACAGTAAATTAAAGAAATTTTGTTTTTTGTTACATAGTGAAAAAATTCTTCTAATAATTTTAATTTTATCTGACTCATTTATATTGACAATTCAGACATACATTATGCATTTTAAAGTAGACGACTTTAAAATGATATTGCCAATATTGTTGAGTTGCGCTCCTGGGATGACTTTACTTATAAGATAGTTCATTCGATTACATGAAATCAACTTTAACTTGAGAATATCCGTCAGAAAAAATCATAGCATGTAATTCGTCTTTAAAAAGACAAACACATGACATGATGACAGTAAAATTCTCCTGTTAGTGATTCCATAGTAAATTATGAGGGAAAAACCAGGAAAAAAACCTCATAATACTATCCCGACATTGTAAGTATTTGTTCGTAAATTTAGTTTACCTTCAACAAACATCAAAATTCTGATTTTATATGTTACGTTATTTAAAAAACATAAATGATGTATCCTCTATATGTTACTGACTTACTAATACTGGTATTTTCCTATTAATAACTTCCTCTTTCAATATTGGTATCCAATCCTACTACATTCTGTCGAGGAATTTGCGACACAATTGGCCTCATTTAGCATAATTAGAGCCGCTTCTTTGATTTTTCTTTTTTTACCATCCGTTTCTTTTAGGACTATATTTGAATTATTCCATTGAACCCTATGTTCATTATCCCATGCGTGTTTACGTATTTGAGATCTATCAAATTCTCTATTTTTAATATAAGAATTGATGTTCACTTATTCTAACATTTAATGGCCTTGATGATTCACCTAAATAAAACTGATCGCATTCACAAAGTATTTATAAATGCAATTCTTTGTCCTTTCTTGTTCATTGTTAGGTTTGGTTTTGGACAAAATAGATCTCAGCGTGTTTGTTGTTTTGAATGTTGTTGAAATGTTAAATTTATTTCCTATCCTTTTAAGTTTTTCTGATAATCCTTTTATGTACGGTATTGTTATTTTCCTCATATTATTCCTTGTGTATGCTGTAGGATCTCGTTCTAAGTTGTTCTGTTCTATTCGATCGATTGTTGAAAATTCCTTATTTATAAACGATAAAGGATAATCATTTTTTAATAAAACAGATGTTAACAAATGTTTCTCCTCCAAGAACGAATTTTCGTTAGAACAAGTAATTTTGGCTCTATCGTATAAGGATTTAATTATTCCCTTTTTTACATTAATATTGTGATTTGATTTGAAATTTAAATATCTATTGGTGTCTGTTGGTTTTCTATACACCTGAGTCTCATATCCAGTATCGTTCTTAGAGATTAAAACATCCAGGAAAGGTAGCGTGTTATTATATTCCTTTTACATGGTAAATGTTATTGTCTCTTCTTTACCGTTTATATCGTTTAGGAATGTGTCCAACAACTCTGATCCATGAGGCCATATTGAGAATACATCATCTACATACCTCCACCATACTGTGGGTTTGAAATTTTGTTTGTTGAAGGTAAACTAAATTTACGAACAAATACTTACAATGTCGGGATAGTATTATGAGGTTTTTTTCCTGGTTTTTCCCTCATAATTTACCATGGAATCACTAACAGGAGAATTTTTACTGTCATCATGTCATGTGTTTGTCTTTTTAAAGACGAATTACATGCTATGATTTTTTCTGACGGATATTCTCAAGTTAAAGTTAATTTCATGTAATCGAATGAACTATCTTATAAGTAAAGTCGTCCCAGGAGCGCAACTCAACAATATTGGCAATATCATTTTAAAGTCGTCTACTTTAAAATGCATAATGTATGTCTGAATTGTCAATATAAATGAGTCAGATAAAATTAAATTATTAGAAGAATTTTTTTCACTATGTAACAAAAAAACAAAATTTGTTTAATTTACTGTTTGTATTTTGAGAACGATTTCCGAATTGGAAATGGAAACGTCAATAAACGTATTTTTATCTTTAATTGTGGCTTATTCCCAGTTATAAATAGTAATTAATTCAAAAAAACCTAGAGGGAATGTAATGCCCACCGTATAATTTGTCTAATGAGTCACACTAAAAATATTCTTAAAAATTATTCATTTAAGAATTTTCAGAAAAGTGGAACAAGACATCACTGAAACCCAATTTGAATTTATAGGAATGCCATGGGTATACGAGAGGCATTATTTGGAATTAACGTCCCCATGCAAAGATGTATGGATGTAAACCAACCACTCTATGTCTGTTTTATTGATTACAATAAGGCGTTCGATAAGGTCCGACACAACCGTCTTATACAGTTACTTAAAGATAAACACATTGACAAAAAAGGCTTAAGCATAATAATTCATCTCTACTTTAACCGAACAGCAAAAGTCAGAGTAGGCAAAGAACTTTCGGAGGAAGTAGAGATAAAAAGAGGCGTAAGGCAAGGTTGCATACTCTCCCCCTTATTGTTCAATCTATATTCGGAAGAAATAATTAAAACATCACTTGAAAACGTAACAATTGGAATAAAAGTCAACGGCAGACCCATCAACAGTATCAGATATGCCGATGATACTATACTAATTGCAGAGAATATACAAGATCTACAGACACTCTTAGATAATGTAGTAAATGCTAGTGAGGAAAGCGGACTAACGCTTAATGCTAATAAAACAAAATTTATGACAATTTCCAAAACACAACAACACATTTTAAACATAATAGGGGTTCCAATAGAAAAAGTAAAAAAATACAGATATCTTGGTACAATTTTTAATGAAAATAACGAGTATACAGAAGAAATAAAAACAAGAATTGGACAAGCTAGAGCAACATTTAATAAGATGAGAAAAGTATTATGCAATAGAGACATTAGTTTGCAACTCAAAATAAGAATATTACGTTAATATGTGTTTTCGGTGCTGCTGTATGGGGTGGAGGCCTGGACCTTAAAGAAAGAGGTGAGCGATCGACTTAAAGCATTCGAGATGTGGACCTACCGAAGAATATTAAAAATAGGTTGGGTAGACCGAATAACAAATGTTGATGTCCTCAGAAAGATGCCAAAGGAAATGGAAATTATGAATACGATTAAGATAAATAAGTTACAATATCTCGTCCATGTAATGAGAGGGGGTAAATATGTGTTGCTACAAACCATAATGCAGGGAAAACGAAAGTATTGGAAGACTTCTGGCTCAAGAATCTGAGAAAGTGCAGCAAGAATTTATAATATGCAGTTCCATCGACTTGTTCAGAGCTGCATCTCAAAAGTGAAAATAGCTGTGATGATTAACAACCTCCTTAGAGGAGACGGTACCTAAAGAAGAAGATTAAGTCGTTAAAACTGTAGTTGCATAACATCAAATGCAACATAAGTGAAAACAATTATACAATAGTTATTAGAATACGACACAATCTTCACATACACATCTGCTAACCAAATATAAATAATTAAAAAATTTTACATCAATTTTATCATTTTATACAAGTCATTAATACTATTATCCCATCAATATCTTAATCATCGATTTAATTTCAAATATTTCACGTGTCAACAAAATATAATAAATTGAATTTTTTAACGATAATACTCTATCAGTAACACAACATTATTACTTTTGATATTTTAATATTTCACCAAATTGCACCACCATATAAATATTCGTTTATATTTCCATAAAATAATCAAAACATTAAAGTTCAAAGAGGTTACTACTTCAGATAAAATTATTCATATACAATCTTTTGCTGATAAGCTCTGATCCGGTGTATCAAATATTTCGTATATATATCCAAAAAAATTTTACAAAAACCAAATTTTCATCAAAATGGCTTGTAAGAAGTAAGTATATTACTTAGGTTAAAAGTATACGGGCAAGATTGTTAATAATAATTTAATTAGTGTTAATTAGAAAATATCTAAAATCTCTCCGATTTCATTTCTAGTTATTTTGTATTAGAAGTGTGTCTTGTCCATATACTCGTATTTCTTAAGTTAGAAGAGATATTATTGCAGATATTATTTGCAGTTTGTACTAGGTAGGTTATTTGAAATACAACGAAATAAGGTTTGCCTCTGTTAAAAACACTGTGTTTCTTCGTTTGATTGCATCTGTGGTTGATACAAATTGTCTTAGATATCTTTAATTCGTCGCTGTTGTAGTTCTTGCGTGTTACTTGATCTTTTTTTTTCGAAAATTTAAAAGTGTTATGGTAATACCCTATCTATATCTTTTTTGAATCTATTATTTGTATTATCACTTATTTTTTACTTAGTTCTTGATGTTTCTGTCCCTTTTTATCTATATTTGTCATAGTTGATCATGTTTCTCTTTCGTAGTTCTTACAATTAACTTTTGGTTTTATTCTCGGTGATGATTCTTTTTATATTTTGTACATTTCCTTCAATAGAGATTCTCATAATTTGTTATCTGATACTTGTATCATCTGGTATAATTTGTTGTTTTATACCTATTTATATTGTTGATTTTTTTAGGCGTTGTGAGTGTACCTACACAAATTTTATTTAATTTTAAATATTCTTAATGAACGATGAAACTACGTCTCAGATTTTGTAGTTTATCGCCAGGGTTATCACTGTTTAGTACATAAAATCGGTTTAAGTTACTGTATTTGCCTTATATCGTTTATTGAATATGCGAATTCGAATATTCAATTCTTTTTTTCACCCGTATTCCGCATCACGTTACTTTTCGTATTCGTTTTTAAATACTTCAATAAATTCATTCTTATTTCACCAAATTCTTCCTCCACCTATACTTTTTCCCCAAGTATTGCTTTGATTTGGTTTGAATTCACTTGTATCCATTTTCTGTTATTGATAAAATCAGATTGTCTTAACTCATTTGTTCTCTGTTCTCGATTCCTAATCACTCGGAGATGGTTCGTCGGGTTTTTGCGATATATATATATATATATATATATATATATATATATTATATATATATATATATATATATATACTCGTATATACATATATCTCCGTCCGCTAAGATTAATACTATTACCTATAAGCGCAAAACTGGTGGGATTTCCCACCAGTTTTAAGTCCGTCGAGACCAAGAAGTTATTTTCAAATTTCTAAAACTCAAACACCATACTTCTTCTTCTATCTCCCAAATTCTCTAAAAAGACCAGTTTTGCGCTTCTCCGTGAAGCGATTCATTCCACTAGACGAAAATTAGATGTTATGAGACAGTTTCGTCCGTATCAACACACAGACAGCCCTAAACACTTTTGAATCTAAGACTGAAACCCAGAAGCGCAAATTAGCGCATCTAATTGCCGAACAAATTCCAAAAACCACTACGTTGAAACCGACTATAGTGATTAGTAATTTTTCTGATACTCCTATTTCCACAAATGCTACTCAAGCTTTAGCAAAAGGTGTCAATTACTCTGTTACCTCAAGTCACATTCCAATTGAGGCAATTATCTGTCAATTTGAAGAAGCCATCTCCAGATTACCTTCAGAAGAGCTGAAATAACTAGACAAGACATCGCTAGAGTTCTTGAGTTCTTAAAGCTTAAAGACCCCTTCTGCAAACATTAGCCAATCCGAGAAAAAAGTCCTGAAAAAATCCAAATCTAGTCATTCTTCCCGCTGATAATGGCAATATCTGGAGAAAACAACAAAAAAAAAACAACATCAATAAGACCTCTGTTCCTGTTGAAATAAAATAACTCTAATTGCTCGTAAGGAGTCTTCCAGAACACTTCGAATATATGGCCTATCTAAAATTTACAAATCCGATATTTCTCTACGTCCCATTGTCAGTGCATACAACTGCCCTACACAACCATTGGCCAAGTACTTGGCTAAAACTCTACAACCTCTTCTCATTTCATCGAACTTCTTAAACAACACCCTATTTCACCGTCAGACATTCTAGTGATATCGTGTCACTTTTGACACACATTCCTATAGACGAAACTCTAAATATTCTGAAAACTATCTAGCACTATCTAGCAAGACCACTTATCTCTTATTAAACATTGAATGTCCAACACTTATTTCAGTTACCAAAATCAATGGGCTTCTCACTATCTCCAGTAATTATCAATATCTTTATGGCAGACTTCGAGACCTGAGCACTATCCACATCAATTCTCAAACCTACATGTTTGCTACGATACGGCTGGTATGTTGACGATACATTCGTCATTTAGCCCCATAGCAGGGATCCTTTGGTGTCTGTTCAAACCCATCTGAATGGTATACATTCTAGTATCCAGTTCATTCTGAAAAAGATGAAAACTGATTCATTTCTACCGTTTCTCGACGTTATCATAAAGAAAAACCACTTCCAAGGTTTTCATCACGCTGTTTATCGAAAACCCACCTATACCAATCGTAACTTGCATGCCAACTCTCATCATCCTCATTCACAATTTAATTAAGTCATTAATATGCTTGTCGCCAGATCAATACGCCTTTGCGATGATGTATGTAGAACAGCTGAGCTCTCTAGTTTAAAACAAGCCCTCATCCAAAACGGTTACCGTAGGACTCAGACCATCATCATACGAAAGCTCTTTGTCCTTACATCAAAGGTGTCACTGACAAAATCTACAAAATTCTTAAATCAAAAGGAATACAGACAATATTTACCCCCCAACAAAAACTTTTATCTCTTATCCGATCAATCAAAGACAACATTCCGAATGAACAACACGGAGTTTAAGAAGTTTCTTGCGCAGACTGTCCCCTATCATATATAGGCCAAACAAATCGTAGAATCCAAAATAGGATTTATGAACATTCCATTTCTGTTTCCAATTCTGACTTAATTTCAGCTCTAGGTCAACACCATCTTCATACAGGTTACAAAATTGATTTTGAAAACTCAAGAACCGTAGCCCTAATCCGCTTCTATAAACTAAGAATTATCCAAGAAGCCATAGAAATTGAAAAAAGGCCAAGTCACTTCGCCATCGACGGTATAAATGAACCGTCCTCTGTTCCCAGTACCAGTAATGCATTGGTTTGTGATCAGTGTAGTAGTGCCTGGGGCCTCGGGAGACTGAGACCTCGAAAAGCCCGAAAGAAGACTTCGAAGAGGATATCGAAAGCTCGGCGCAATGATAATCGACGTGGTTCAACCCGGAGAACTGTTGAGTTTAATATTAATTCCTATAATAGTATTAATCTTAGCTCTAGGTTAATATATATATAATATATATATATTATATATATATATATATATATATATTATACATATATATATATATACTACTATATATATATCTATATATATATAATATATATAATATATATATATATATATATATATATATATCTATATATATAAGATATATATATCTTATATATATATATATATATATATATATATATATATATATTATATACCCTCCCAATTCCCAACCTCCTAATAGAAAGACTCATTATGGTGTTGAGAAACAAAAATATACCAATAAATTTAAAGAAAAGGGTATTCAACAATTGTATTCTAACAGTTATAACCTATGGAATGGAGACAGTGACACTTACAGAGTTGTCAGCCAATACATTAAGAGGGCCACTAGAGCTGTTAGAGTTTCTCTGAGAGAACATACACGAAATGAGGACTAGGAATTTGTCGAAGTCTCTGTTCTTGAGGTATACTTCATGTTCGTTTATTCTGACACTTAGTGGTCTTGCAGTTTCTCCCACATAGAAATTGTTGCATTTACAGGGTATTTTATAGATGCAGTTCTTTGATTTTTCTTAATTGTTTTGAATGAAGTACAATGTACTTGTTTCCTATCCTTTTAAATTTTTCTGATAAGCCCTTTACATATGATATTGTTATCATCTTTGAATCCCTACTTGTAAGTGTTTCTGAATTGCTTGTGGCGTTTTGTTATTTACTTTCTTCAATCTTGTAAAATTCCTTATTTTTAAATGACAATGGACAGTAATTTTTTGTCAAAATTAGCAGGTTTTTTCCTCTCTGAAATGCATTTTCATTGGAGCAGGTATTTCGGGTCCTATCATATAGTGATTTGATAATTCCTTTTTTGTCGTTTGCGATGTGGTTTGAGTGGAAATTTAAATATCTGTTGGTGTAGGTTGGTTTTCTGTAAACTTTTGTTGCATATCCTGTGTCGAACCTGTGCATATCCTGTTGCATATCCTGTGTCAAACTGAATATGTCAAAAATATTTGATATCTAGACAGCAGATATCTGATATTGCTGATATCTGACAAAAATATTTGTCAGTTAAAATTATTATTTAATTATTATCTAATGTCCATGTTCGTTGTTAATTGTGTTGAGACCACCTTTCAGACCACTAAAGGTGGTTTCAAAGGCTTCTTCTACTACTTCTTGGAGATCTTTCGATCTGTTTAATTCTTAAGCTGCCTCTGGTTAATTTCCTGGGAGGTAGATTGCCAACTATCCCTCCATCTTTTAGGTGGTCAGACTATCTCCCGCAGACATCCTGACAGTGGGGATGCTTTGTAGATCTGACTCCTTAGGTCCTTTACTCGGTCGTGTGTGCTTGATATATCTATGCCCAGATATCTGAATTGCATCACCTGCTCTATGGGGTTGTTCTCAACCACTAACTTACATCTGAACGGATCTTTTGCTATTGTCATACATTTAGTTTTGTTGGTAGAAAGGGTCATATTTAGTTGGCGGCTTATTTGAAAGAACTGAAAGAGCTGTCTTTGAAGATCATCTTCCGATTAGGCAATAATTGCTGCATCAACTGCGTATAGCAATTCTTTTGTTGCCCATTCTGTATCCGAGATTGAGAGATGTTACTTTATTTATAATTTTACCCATGAGTAGGTTAAACAAGAAGGGGCTTAAACTGTCGCCTTGTCTAATTCCTCCCGGTGTAGGAATATTTTCAGTAAATTGGTCTCCTGTTCTAACTTTGGTTACATTGTTGTTATTTATGTTGTGGACTATCTTTGTTATATTGGTCGGTGTGTTACTTTCTATTAATATATGTAGAATGTCTTTCAGGCTAACCTTGTCAAACGCCTTCGTCAGATCAGTGATGCAAATATACGCTGGCATGCCGAACTCTATAGCTTTTTCTTTTATTTGTTTTATTATGAATACTGCATCTGTAGACCACCCTCTTGTAAAACCTTGTCGTTCTTCAGTATTATTGATTTGCCTTTTTAATTTGTCCTTAAGAATACTCGTGAAAAGTTTCATCGTTTGTCCGATTTTGTTACAGCGTTTGTATTCCTCTGTAGTTTTGTCCTTTTTTAAATATGGGGATTGTGTTTCATTCCTGTGAACATGGGACATTCCTCTGGTGTTTCTGTTTTGTTTAAGATTTTGTTAAATAGTTGTGACAGTTTACTTGCAAGTTCAGGGCCTCAATATTTTAAGGGTTCATTGGGTATACCATCTGTTCCAGGTGATTTTCTGTTTTTTACCTTCTTGATCTTTACTTCTTACCTCTTTGTCATTGATTGTAGCACTTATATCTGCTTCGTATTCGTTTACATTCAGCGTTTCTTCAGCATCATATAGCTCTTTAAAATGCTGTTGCCATGTTTCTATAGGTAGTCCCTTGGTCTGCACGAACTCGTTAACTGGTTTTTTCCTGTTCCGAAGCATTTTTCATACTTTCTTTTGGACACCCTGTAGGTCGTAGTCCATGTCGCTGGTGAATTTAGCCCAAAGTTCTCTTTTGATTGATTTTATTCTTGCGTTTACTTCGTACTTGCGGTTTAAAAGTAAGGTTCAGATATCGAAATGATCTTTACTAAAAGGTTCCGCATAGAGAGACTAGTTAAGAGTGAGTTCAGTGTACGTAGTTTTAGGATGTAGCAATTTAAATTCTTAAATTAATTTCTAATTCTAATTTTTTTATTTTTTGTTTCAGCTTGTACATCGTAATTTCCTTATTGATGCTTATTATATCGCACTCAAATTGTATTTCACCAGGATGTAAATTTTTGGAAGAAGAGGAACAATGGGAATGCTATTCAATAAGTGTTAAGTCTCCTGATCCGGAATTAGCGAAACTAAATTCAACTGAAGTTTTCAGTTTAGCTTTATATAACGTTAATGGAAATATGAGTTCAGACCTGTTAACAAATTTCACTAGTTTAAAGGTACTCTTATTATTGGAAGATGAATTCAAATCTTTTAAATTAAAATCAAACACAATTCAAAGTTTATCGTTAATAAGAAACAAATTTCCAAAAGGATCAAATATTAAAAATTGTTGTTACAGATTAGAAAAACTAATACTTAAAAATAATACTGGTCCTAGTTTAAAACACGAAGTATTATCTAGTTTCAAAAGATTGCGCAGTTTAGATTTAATATCACAAAAAACGAAACATATAAATAAACACATATTTAAGGGTCTGACCAAATTGAAGAAACTTTCAATAGTGAACTGTTCAACACAAAATATAGCCGAAGATGCCTTTAGAGACCTTTCTCACCTCCAGGAGCTCTACATAGAAGATAATAGCTTAAGAAACATACATCCAAAAGCATTAGAACCATTAAAACAGTTAACTTCGCTTAGTATTTACGGTGAGAGCTTACCTCCCCTACCACTTAATATGTTTAGTGAGCAAAAGAGGTTAATGCAAATTGGTTTACCTACGAATACGTGGAAATCCATAAATGTTGAAAAGGTGCCAGCTATGTTTCCCCGACTAAATTTTTTTTCTTATATGGGTGGATGGAAAACGGAAGAAGACAAACAAAATACAAAGTCAAATGTTTTCACGAAATTGACTAAGTTGTTACTGAAAAGAGATGAATATGTAAACTAAATGATAATGAACTCAGTATTAATATATTAAAAACAGAGGTTTATCTTTTTTTGTGATAGTTAGATACGTAACAATAATGAAAAGTGTAAAAAATGCAAAACAGCTTTAAACTGTTTTATTCTAACTAAATCATTAGAACAAGTTACCTATCGATATATTATGTATTTTAAAATTTAAATTATTGTAAGTTAAGTCCTATTTATTTTTTATATTTAAATGTTTTCTTTTTAAATTTTGTATATCATTATTTTATTACAATTTTCAAATTTGTCGTTTTATTTTATTTATACAATAGATCTTTTTTTTATTTAAAACACTTATACCACATCAACCACGCAGGGTTATTAGGACAAACACAATAGTTTTAATACGATTATTTTCATTAAATAGTATAATACAAAATTATATCTCTTAAATAATTTAATACATTTAAATTTCTTATCTGTCAAGATGAATTTGGGGTCGTCTAAAATTCCATGCATTTTTTGATTTTGGAAACATGGGCAATCAAGCAGGAAGTGTTTCACTGTCAATGAAGTGGAGCAATTATTGCAGATTGGCGGTGGATCTTTACTAATTAAAAATTTGTATGTGACAGCAGTATGACCAATTCTTAAACGGTTTATAATTACTTGATCTCATCTACTTGTGGGGTTTTCAAAGAGCTGTTCACCTTTGGGCATATTGGGTTTAATTTGGTTACTGAATTTTCCAGTAATTTTGCCAAATCTTAGTGCAATGATCTTTAATCAGATGTTTCATGTCACTATAAGGATATTTTGTAATTTTTGTAGTATCTTCTAAGTTGATACGGCTTGTAGTTGCTAGTTGATGTGCTTTTTCATTTCCCCAGAGTCCAATGTGCGATGGTACCAAATGAAAGCTGTGTCCTTTCTCATGGAATGAAGTGTTTCTAATTCATTTTTTATTGCTTGTATAATGGGATTTGTTGTATAAATTTTCTTTAATTTCAATAAAGCATTAAGTGAATCTGTAATGATGACGCACTTCATCGTGTTACTCGTTTTGAAAAAAGCTAAGGCTTTTAATATAGCTGTGGTTTCGCCGTGTGAGTATACAACAATTTGTAGGTAAGTGTATGCTGTAGGAGTTTTCTTCATCAGAATAGTAAGCAGCAGCTTGTCCATCTGGCGTTTTAGAGTAAGATTTGTAAGTAGTTGGGGTAACGGGATATGATTTCTGCAAAAAGATGTTTAATTATCGAGAAGTTTGTATATGATTTGAGATACTTTCTTAGTGTTAGGTCAATGGTAAGTAGACGGGTTGTCCATGGAGTAGAGACTGCATTTGTATATAGCAATAGACTAAGTTGATCCATGTTAAAATTTGTGACTTTTATTCTTTCTATTAGAGGAATACAGTTTGTTGTCTTTTTAAAAGAGATGATGCCAGGGTGGAAAATTTGAGAGATTTATACACACTTTATTATTATTTTAGTATCTGCGTCCAAACTTTATTAGACATAATTTTGAGTATATTTAAGCTAGATTGACAGGAATGTTGTAGATTATTGATATGTAAGTTCCAATTTAAGGTTCTGGTAAAAGTTAAACCTAGAAAATTAACTTCTTCTGATCGTTTTAATGCTAAATTATTTAAAGTTAGGTAAGTTGAATAGCGAGATCTGTTATTATTATTATTATTATTATTATTTTTAATGGCTTTGTATTTTTGAAGTATTCATTCATACAGGATTGTACGAGGAGGACACTTTTCACGCTCAGGGATTCATCAGAGCGGCGACTGTTTTTATTAAAAATTATGTAATGTGTTTTTTCTGTAGAGAAGTTAAACCCAGTTTTTAACGTCCAATTTTCAATCCGAGTAAAAAATTTTGTAAAATTTTAGTTGTTGATTCTATATTATTTAATTTAGTATAAACGACGATGTCTGCATAAAGACTGGACTTTAATTGGTGCTCTAATTTCATGAATAACACTATTGACATCAATTAAGAATCCTGTTATACTTATTATGGAACCTTGAGGAATTCCGTTATCTAATGTTCTTGTTGAACTTTTAAGGCCATTTATCCTAATTTCTATTGATCGATTATTTAAAAAATTGTTTACAAATGCCAGTACGTTAACTTGAATTTATCGCTTAGATTTTTTAAAATTCAGTGTCTAAAAAGTAGCAATGAGTTTTTGGTTGTTTGCAAAAGCTTCATTAATTGAGATTTGTAAAGTAACATGGTTATCTGACGTCGATCTATCTCTTCGAAAGCCACTTTGATAAGGGGAAAGGAGATTATTATTTTCCAGGTGCCATACTAGATGAAGGTTTAAATTTTTCCAAGATTATACACATACTACAGGTAAGCAAGATGGGGGGTAAGAAGTGGGCTTATCTTTAGGTTTATTTGGCTTGATGATGGGAATTATTACAGCCTGAGAAATAAGATCAGTAAATTTATGTTTTAGAAAACAAGTATTTAACAGTTTCAAGCAGTTAACAAGAGTTTAACTGAAAATGGCAAGTTTTTTACAAATATTGGTGGTATGTCATCTGGTCCAGCCGAGGCGTTTTTTAAATCAGAAATAGCAAATTCTAATTCTTGAAGAGTTATAGCGATGTTTAAAGGATCATTGGTATGGTTTATGGTGACAATAGAGGATTCTATAGTTTCCTTGTGCGTTATTTCCTGAGGTATGAGGTATTTCATTATTGCTAGAATTTTGTTGATAAATATCAGCAAAGGTTTCTGCAATAGCTTTGTGACAAGTAATTAGTGTTTCACCATGAGTTAAGGAGTTTATTTGTTAAAAAAATTAGAACCTTACGAACGTTAGAATTACGTTAGACCTGAGTTTACGAATTTTACACCAAATGACAGTTAAAGTGGTCGATGAATTAATAGAAGAGACATAATTTTCCCATGTATTTCTTTTACTTTTTTTATGAGATATTTCGATCTTGCTCTGAGTTTTTTTAAAATTAAGTAAATTTTCTTTTAAATTAAAATTTATTAAAAAATAAATTTAAAAATTAAACGCCGGTTTTGATATTGATAGAACTAGTACGATTTCGCTGGTCCACCAAGACACTGGTTGTCTATTACAGAGTTTAGTGTTACCGATATTAGTTAAGGCAGGTTCTGTTATGATATTTAAGGACCTAATGTCAGAGTTTATGCCACTGCTTAATTGGAAATTTCCAATTTTCTTTTGATGTCGATCTGATAGGAGTTTCAGTTTGCATTCTTTAGTTTCCAAGATTGATATATTGGGAATTTAGGAGATTGAGATTTATTAAGTGTTACATGAATGGAAAAATGATCACTATCGTGCAGTGATTCTAAAGTATTCCTTAAGAGATAAGTTGATAATGATTGGCTACATAATGTCAAATCTATGGCAGAAAATCAGTCGTTGTAAGAGTTACATCGGGTCGATTTTCCATTATTAAGTAGTATTAGTATATATAGTAGTCTGGGGAATCAATGAGATGATTCAATAAATGTACCTAATTTGTCAGTTTTATGACTTCCTCATGCCAGATGATGGCAATTGAGATCAGTTCTGTAAGAACATTCTGCTTCTTTGTGACCAATAGTTTTACAATTTAAGCAGTTATAATCATCTATGGAAAGGTACAGACGATACAGGGCGGTTTCATGTGATATATTAAAAGAATCGGGGATAGATATATTTCTTAGGGGAGTAATAAATATTTGCCTTCTAAAACTGAGGACATGGCTGTATTCTGTTACTGGCATACCTAATCTCAAGATAGTCATCTTAGACAGAGCAATGATACTCATCTTTTGTAGTTCTGCTCTTTGAGGACAGATAAATACAAATTCAGTTGTTAGAAATTCTTGATGCGAAAATGACATTACGTGGTCCTACTAGTGATCCTACTGCTATGATGTAGTAGTGAATTTTGGTATCTTCCACACTAGACAGGACAATAGCCTGTTCTTTTGTTAGATGTTTAAAAGAATTTACTACACTGGAATATGAGTTTGAATATGAGCTTTACGTTTGATTCATGTTGATTAAGGTAGTGTTATTTAAAGTAATATCATTTGAAGTCATGATATTTTAAGATGCCGCAAGTCCGGCCCTGTCGCCAGTTCGAAAACTGGTCGTGATTCCGGATCCAGACTCAAACTTGTTTTATCTTTCTGTATTTTGCAGGTTATATTTCTGATAATATTGTTTATAATAATGTAATTTCAAATAGTCACTTCAGTCTATATTGGTAAGTACTCGTGTAGCATTCAAAATAATTTTATTTTTGGACGGCTTTAAACGTGGTATATTGTATCTTAGTCAGGACCGTACTAACAATAGATCTTATTTATTGACCTAACTAATAATACCGTCAATTGGGGTGACTTGATACATTTTTGAAATACAATTGCTTGTAGTTTTGGAATAGAAAGACCTAGGCCGTTTATATACTCCTCAAAAGTTGAGTCCCGATCTCTTTACTTTATAATCAAAGTGCCATAAAGTTATAAATTTTACTTTAGGTTTCTTTAAAACAATGGTTGTGGCAATTTCTTTATAAATATTAGTTTACAAAATTAAAAGGATGACTTGATACACAAAAACGATTTTTTGAGGTTTACATTTGAAAAAATACATTCAAAGATTTTTTATTCAAAACTTACCGTTTTCCAAAAAAGGGATTAGTTATTCCTTTATACAGTAAAAACAATACAAAAAATGTTTTTATAATAAAAGTATAACTATAAAACATTAAAAAGAAATTAACCCGGCGTCACCCAGGTGGGGTCTAATGGTACCCCAACACACTTAGAACTAGGATAATTCTATGGTTAATACACGGATGTTTTATTGGCTGCCTATAGCTTCCTTAAACATTGCTGCCGTTGAGTATTCTGAACCAATTTCAGTTGTAAGTTGATCGTCAAAGTGAGTACAGTTGCGTTATTTGTTGTACATATATAATTTTTTCCCTAGAATGAATTACGAAAAAGAACAAGCCAAACTATTGGCACTTGGCAGAAACTCGAAGATGATAAGTACGAAATTTTGGACTCCGACGATGAAAACGAAATTGATCACATAAGTAATCAGTCTGACGGTGAACAAAAATAAAGAAATTGAGGAACTAGAAGTACGGAAATCTGAAAATAAACGAAAAGAAGATTAAAAAATATCGTTATTATTTAGGTAGGGATTCCAAAACAAAATGAAGAAAACACCATAGTAATCAAGCAGTTAGAATGAGGACAGAGAACATAATTTCGAACTTAATAGGATCCAAACCATATT